TATATAGATATATATATAATTTGTTTATTTTTTTCTAATCTATTCAGATCTACTATTGACAAACACTTTCCTTGATTGTATTTTAATATTGTAACTGTAAAGTGATCAACCTACTCTCAAGAAATCTATAGCTTAAATACGGTCCTACAAATGCCTATATTGCATTCTCACTGGTGTTAGCAACAGAGATTAATTTGAACCAGTAGGCAGAACAAGCAAACACTGACACTTCCAATTTTTTCTTATTTGTATTACTTTTATTACTATCATTGTAATGTGTTTCATCATTCACATGTCCTTAGAGCATATAGGCAATCAGCCTGAAGGTAAATTACATTACCTAAATCCTCTGGAAACATACAATTCCTGAACAGTTCCTAAACTTAGATAAACAGCCATTATGTCTGTTTTACAGAAATATGTATAAAGTATTCAAGTATTGAACGGTGAAAAAGTTTCCTTTATTTTGCTGTAAAAATGTAATAGGCAGTGAATACTCCACATATATGTATGCACTCACTTTGCAGAACATTGCTCCAAGTGTATATAAAAAGTGTGTATATATATCCTGGAAATGAAATGGTACCTCTCTTTTCCCAGAGTACCCCATAATCCACCTGCTAAATTACACCTTTGATGGTTAAAGGTGGCCTATATCCAAAATAGAGTGGCACAGCAAGGCAGATTATCTCTAAGAACCAGTTCTTATCTCTCAAGGCCAAAGTCAATATTCAAAAAAGATTAGAGCCAAAATCAGAACAAAGCCTATCAGGGTGGTGGTATTATGTTACAAACCCTTTATGCAATATCACCTATTAACCAAAGAGGGGAGTTTGCACACCCAATGTTTGAATGTAGGGTGTTGTTACCAATAAATAGGGCCCAGGTTTATATTGTGATTGGCTGTGTAATCATTCTATGCACCACCCAGTTGGTGAGAGGGCTTCTGCAGGCCAAAGTTTCTTGGACTAGTGGTAAAGATTCAGTGTCTGGTAAGGCACATACTTAAGGAGTTAGTTACATGGTCTGTTAATATGCTATTCAGGCAAGGGAAAGGGTTGCACATTGTAGCAGCATAAGGGGTTGTAAGGCCCTTCAGTCTATCTACTGTACATGGAATTTCAGAGAAGTGTTTAACCATTTGTATGATGCAGGTGCTTTGGTTAAAGTGTTGGCTTTGCACTTAGTATACGAAAAGATGTTTACTAATACAATTCAGTGTAAATGTCATACATACAATATTCTGGAATGTGCAATGGAGTTCCATGGAAACAGCTAAATGTATTTTAAGATCTTAAAACCATTGTGAGCTGCCTAGGGTGACAAAGTCCCTGTTTAGGCCTTCTAATATAAAGAATTATCTTTTCATACAGTATCCTATCAAAGTTAATTTTCATTTTTTATTGTATTTTTATTTTAATCCTTTTAAACTATTAACTTCTCTTATTTGTTCGAGAACTAAGACAGTACCAACATTGGTCATGTGAATAAAAGCAATACCTGAATTTCAGTGAACCTGTATTTTGCCTACACAAGGAAAAGTGAAAGGCTTGTTTTCCTGAAGGAGCTATAATCGACCAGTACTTTTATTTACTTTGCTGCCCTCCTGATATGAAGCCACGGTCCCCTAAAGTCCTGTGCAAATTTCAACTTTCTAAGAATTGCTTCACATGGCAGTACTGAGACTGGGTAAAGGCTGAATTGTTGGAGGCTATGAGGGAGAGTCACATATTCCCCTATACCTGGAAGTACGGTTTTTTTGTGGCATAACAATGCACCTAGTTGGTGAGGGAGCACTGGATAATATTAAATTAACTGCTCATAGTACCTCCTAGAAAGCTTTTTACTTTGCACAGAATTGGCAAGGTACAGGCCCTCTTTAAGAGCACATTTAAAGGGTAGAACAAGTAAACTTACCAAGCACTGCAAGGTGTTGCATAAGATGTTCCGGCAGCATAGGCATTACTATTGAAAGTACAGGAGCATGTTTTAAGAGGAACACAGCCTGAGTAGTTAATGTCATCAAATACAGTTCCTGTAAGAGATAATAATATGGTTTATGTTCATGCACAGTAGAATATTCTAACCTTTTTGTACTCCAATGGTCATCATGTTAAGTAATTATAAATAACATACCTGGAGGACAGAAGCAGCCTTCCATGCAGTGGTTCTCACAAAGAACTGCCCTTTCTGGGTTGCTACAAGTGTCAGCACAAGGGGATCCACATTCCTGATATACCATGTTGTAAGGACAAGTTTTGGCTGTGAAAAAATAAATGAAAATTATACATTAAGGGTTTATGTACTTTATTTTTATGACCAGTCAGTAATTTAACTTTTTTACTGAATAATGTAAAGGATAAATTAAGATACATACGGCATTTATCGTTTGTTCTCCAATTCTCTGGGTGTCCTCCAGCATGGGCACACTGCCTTGAGTATTCAGCAAAGGTATTACACAGGCAAAGGCTTATATTTTTGCCTTCACATCGGCACAGATCTTGCACACAAGCTTCAATATATTGCTCTGCAGCCACCAAGGGATGGCAACTTTGGAAGGTTGAACTAAGGAGGGCCGATTCACAAATTTTCTCCTGGAAAACACACATTTAATCATAAGGACAGCTGTATGATAGATGATGGCCAACAAACACCATTACAAATTGCTGGGACACATCTGACTTACATAGTCAGTGCAGTTGCTTTTGGGAGTGGGTGGCACATCATGACACAGTTCTGTGGGTCCATCCAACTTCTGCAGGTTTCCAAACTGAGCTGCCGTCATCTGAATGCCTGAAAAATAGCATGTGTTTCCAGTAATATGTTCAGGTGGTTTTCCATTTTTGTCTTTAAGATGATATATTAGGTTCTAATGTGGTAGATACAGGTTTATTTAAAGTGATCCTGTGGCTATGCTACATGTCTTCAGAGAGGGCAAATGGTAAAGGAAGACTACAAATACTTACCTTTTCTGCCCCCTGTGCTGTTGAACTCGGTTCCATTCAGTAGAAATTGCCTTCCAAAGTCCATTAGGAAACCAACACTTCTAAAGGTGTCAGTGTCCTGGGTCATCAACAGCTCTTACTGGTTCCTCTTTCTTACCTACATTACTACTGTGTCCTGTAATGATTTTGAGGTTGGCAAAAGGAACCAGTGAGGGCTGCAGGGATTTAGGAGATTAACACTCCCAGAAGAATTGGTTTCCCAGTGAACTTTGGGGAATCATTTCTACTGATCAGAAAAGAGTTTGGTGATGTGGGTGGCAGAAAAAGTAAGTATGTACACTCTTTGTTTACAGGTAGGACATCCATAAAGATCTTCAGTATAGCAGCAGGGTTGCGTCAATGGATTTATACCCATCTACATATACATAGTATCCTTTGAAACTGTACCATAGCGTAATATATTTCATGTACATTTTTATATTCCTATAATTTGTCTATTACACTTGGATTAATTAAACCTACCATTGGCAACAAACTCATTGTGGATGGAAATGCCATTGAAATCTCCACACAATCCGCAGGTTGTGTTGGCAAACTTAGATTCCAGTTCCAGCTGCAGAAAGTTAAATCAAAGAGAATTATAGAAGAAACATGCAATCACTAGGAATAAATACATTAGAAACTTTTTCTGTTCTCTTACCAAGAGGCTGTCATCATCGTTCCACATGAAGACCAGGCCAAGTTTGGAGGTCACTGTAAGGTATACACCATGTTTCTCTATCTGAACTCCAGAACCACTGAAGGGCAGCTGGACTCTAAGGAAATATTGATATGTTGAAAAGAAGATTAGTCAATGAAATTTTACTTTTAAATCAGCACTTAATAGTTTACAATAGTTTGCATGCCTCATCAGAAAAGATCTTCAGATCTTATAATCATTCACCTCCCTGTCATTTTCAGGTTTTGGAAATGGAAACTGAGTCCTACAGTTGATGTTATTTTTATTAGCTTTGGATAGAGAGGGAAAGGATTAAAACCCCTTTCAGGTTTTTTATTCATATCCATGGCTTCCTTTAAGAGTTTTACCCTCATTTCCTGTCCTGACAACATTTTACAAGACAGAAAGAGAGAAAAGGTGAGGTGAACTTTCTAATAGCAACAAAACGTAAATAAAAAAAGATATTTTGTAGAGCAGAAGACCTGTCAGATTTGTTTTCATTTTGGTCTTTGTTGCAGATATTTCTTCAATTCCTGTCTGATGAAACTACTGTGAGCAGGACAGAAAGCGAGGGGAATTTTCTCTAATGGAACTCCAGATAGCAGTAAAAACCAGACAAAGGTCCTAATATTTTCTCATTCTATCTAATAGAAAAAAGGTTTTTGGCTTGATATCCACTTTAAGTTTAGACGTACTGTGGCTGGAAGTGGTTTTGCTGAACTATGGAGAAGAATTATTAGTATGTACTGTGGCAGTGCATGGCAATGCCGCGGTGTAGTATGGCAACATTGGCACCCAGGACTCTCAGTCAAAGGGGCTAAGAGGGTCCAGAATGTAAACAATGTTATAATGAAGAGCCTGGCTTTTCAGGTCCTTCCAGGTTTTCCTGAATGTAGCTGGGATCTGGAGATCTCTTAGAGCTCTGGGTGGGATGAGATCTCCAGTCCTGGGGCCAGGTGTTACCAATGACCAGCTTGGGCTGATCAAGTGGCTGAGAGCATCCTTATTAGGAGTCTGGACCAGAGTTGTGTTGGAGAGTTGTGTGGGTGCAGGAGACACAGAGCCACAGAAGACTCAGGTGTGTGCTGGACACGTGGAACAGCCAGGGAAGGCTGGGAGAGGTCGGGAAGGTCGGTGACACTAGGACCTGTGGAACACGCTGCTGAGAGAGCAGAGTGAGGGCTCACGAGGGGTGAGCAGTGTGAGTTTCTTGGAGTTGTGGAAAGCTACAGAGCAAAACTAAAGACTGTCCTTTATGTTTCTGCTAAAAACAGTTGTATGCAACCGGAGGGGGTGGGGGTAGAATGAGATGTTTGGTGTTTGCCCTTAATAAAACTGCAAAAACTTGCACCTCCTGTCTACAGTCAAGTGTCCTTGTTACAGTACCTATTAACTTTAAGAAAATTCTCTATTATTTTGTAAGGAGATGTATACATCTATTATGAATAGAAATGCATAGGCTATCCACCTTGTCTTATAATCAGCTGAAAGATTCAGTAAAAATAGGGTGATATTATAATCAGAAATGTTGGAGTCTGGCCAGTAAAAAAAGCACATATGTATTTAAACATCAGTTTTAATTTTCAAATACTTTATTAATACCTATGCCTGCTATTGTTTTTTTTCCCCCCCAGGCAGAAGACTTTTGGGATTTTATAGTAAAATGTAGACTTGATAAAAGGATGGTATAATGATAACATAGTTGAGCTATCACATAAGCCTAGGTATGTTGGTAAGGTTATATATTTATTCAAAGCTAGCAATAGTAATATAGTAAGTAAATTCTTCTTGTGGCACAAAATCGGAATTGTTTTTGTAGCATTTGCAAAAAAGGTGGCAACAAAATATCCATTCTTTTTATTCACACCTATTAGCCAATTACTATTACAACTAAAATTCAGACTGATAGTTCAGGTCCTCATTGTAGTAGTAATGTCTGCTATGGCCATAGTTAGACCCCTGTGCTTAGTCACTTACGTATTGCCATTCACTATAACGATGTTGCGGTCTAATTCCACTATAAGCCCATCAAGTTTCATGCTGATCTTTTCAACGGAAGGAACATTATTCACAATAGTCCGCCGCATCTGGATGTTGAATTCCTCATAGGTGCTCTTGCAGTGGGAAGCAAAAACATAATTGCAGGTACCCGGGAAGTAAAAGATATCCCCATCAAAGTTTTTGAAGTGGAAGTTACCCCAGGTGCTGCATACTCTGTTGTTGTGAGCCACATTAAAAGCTGGAAAAATGTATGGGAAAATATAAGAACGATTTTTAAATCAACACTGCATAGAAACACTTGGGTAGTCACTGAAGATAAATATCGGAGTCTTTCTGTACAGTCTTGCTACTGGATACTAAATGTATACGTTTTCCATTACATTTTAGAATTGATTGGCTGTGTGAGCTGACTATCTTACATCTGAGATGTTTGTAAAAATGAACTGTCATTCACTAAATAGCAAGGTATACATTTGCTTTCATTTCCACTACTGAAACAACTGTAAAGTAACATCATCTACCTGTACCTGGATACATTTATTGGAAGTAAATACATTGTCTCATTTGAAACACCTTAAATTCATGTGTATTGTAACATTTTATTTTTAATTACGCTTTTTAAAGTATTATTGTCTGCACGGTTTACACGGTCAACATTCAATTACATTAGAATCCTCATTACTTACCCTTCACTGGAAGGTTAGTAGCCACTTGGATCACTGATATCCTTGGTGGTCCTGTTATTAAAACTAAAAATGATAAAATATGTTTATAGAAGGTACACAATAATTACAGTATAGTAATAGAAAACTTCTACCTCTTTAGATTTTACATTACTCCTTTTCTAGCGGCATGGCTATAGAATACTTGCCTGTATTGTCAGTTGCCACATAGTATGAAGGGCAGTTAAAGTGACACTAAGCTCAGCAGTTAAATCTTAAAAATGCATTCAAGACCCTTATTATGAACAAACATTTAGCTTATTTGTGCACTGGTCAGCCGTAGACCCTTAAATCATCTCAGAATTGGTGCTGACACTTCACACCTTCCTTCTGGAGGGTGGCTACTTTTGTTCCCCATGATTCCCCTCACTCCTGTGATAGACCATAACTTCAATACAAATTATCTAACTAAATATGAGATTGTAGTCTATCATGGGAGCGAGCTTGGAGCGGTGGCTACTCTATAACACACAGGAACCATGGGGAACTAAAGTAGTCCCCCTTCAGAAGGAAGGATAGTGTACACTCAAATTCAGAGATGATTTGAGGATCTACTGCCGAGTGATGCACAAATAAGATACATTTTTGTCAATCGTTAGGGTACTTGAATGCATTTTTAAGATTTAAGTAGTCCTGAGCTTAGTGTCACTTTAATCTGTAGTGCTGAAAATTAGTTTTGCTGATATTTTAAAGAGACTGTGAAGGACCACATTGTATTTAACAAACAAAAACAAGAACCAGCATAATAAAATGATAAGGCTTTGCTACACACAGTCACACACATAAGTTATAAATTGATATTTATTAACAATATAACATTTCAAAAGAATGTATACTTTTCAGGTCTTATATATGGTATATTAAAGAAAAGCTTTAATTCAAGCCTCAGATTGTTGTCTTTTGTCAACAATGTTTGATTAGTGTGGCATATGGTATCAGCAATTACTATAGACTGGAACCATTAAGCAGTTTATTCATAAACAGAATATTAGGGTTTACCATTTATTTGCTATAGGTTTATTGTGTGTACCCATGTATCATCTCAGTAATATATCTAGGATAATCAGGGAGAGTTCTACTTATGTACCTAAATAGGCATTTTCTTGTATTTACATAATATATTATTACTATAGACAATCCAGACTTACCAGTTTGCTGTTGTTGTTGCTGTTGTTGTACAGTCTCATCAACATTGTAGTCATAAGTCTCTGTTTCAGTGTCTTCTCCGACATAATCGCCATACTGCATTTGAGCTGCAGAATAATAAGTAAAAGAATAAACGCATAAGAGGTAAAAAAAAAAACCCATAAAGGCGGAAATTACAAAAACTGCAGTAAACAGTATCTGAACAAACGTTTTCCTTAGAGTTTCAGAGCACCAAGGGATTTATAAAGCTAAAGTTACAAGACATGTTTAAAAGTATAAATAATTGATTTCAGACTTTCGTATACAACTTTATCTACAGATTACTAGCCTATACTTGAGGAGCAGATAACAGTTCAGATACCGAGGACACAAGAAAAGCTGTACAATCACTATTACTGTTCAAGTCTAATCTTGCTTGTGTATAATTATCCTTTAAGCTAACCCTCTGCCTAGCATCATTCCTAAGTCTGACACTCACTTATCCACACTTCTACCAGATCCAGACCCATAAGAAGCTGCACAACTGCCACTGCATACTCTCCCGACCCATTTAGGTGCATATCTGGGCATACCCAGAAAAATCCTTTTCTTTTCTATGTAGATGGATTTGTCTTGGGACATATAATAGATGGCATCTCCATAGGAGTGAAAAGGATTTCCTGCACATATATATATATGAAATGGGGAGCCAGGTGGGAGAGGTTACAGCGGCAGCTGTGCAAATTCCTGTGGGTCACACAGCATGAATCCGGCAGGAACAGTTGGGTATAAGGCTTTGGGGGATGCTTGGGTAAGACGATTTTTAACTTAAAGGATAATTATTCAAAAGTATAACTTTTCTTTAAGAATTTCAACTGTTCCAACAGTTCAGTTAATAATATCAGTTAAATAATCAGGTTAGTGTTTACTAGCTCCCCACCTAGGTTGATGCTAATGGCCAGCACTGACGTGTTTAAAGGATCACTTTACCCAAAAACGATATTTCGGTTTTTGGATGCTTAAAACTTCAGTCATGCAGTAGATTAACATTGCTATCAGGAACTAATTGTTAAGATCTCTGCTTATTTCCAGATCTGTGCATGTGACATTGACAATACAGGGAGGGGGGGGGGTCTGGTCTTCCTGCTGTATTTTTAAAATTGTACTCTATAAATATGCAACAGATGGCATTTAAAGGCCCAAAGGTGGGTGGGAGCACCTAAAACTCTATGCTGTGTGGGAAGAGAACCAAGGACTATGGCATGGGGATCTTGCCACTACAGTTTCAAGAGATGGGAGAAGCTACCTAACATATCTAAAATATTACTGGACTAGACCCAATATGGCAGTACAATGAACACTTGCGATAACAGGAAATCCACAGCACTGAGCCAGATTTTAGTTTATTGTTGTTAGATAAGTAAAGATAATTTCGGGTTCTTTGCTCTGCATGCACACATTTCTGAATAATCCCATAAATATAAAAGAAAAGGAAACTGGCATGCAAGCATTGACAAATTCCGTTTAACAGTCTATTGGGTGTCTCTCTTATTAAAATAGTTGATTTCCATATTCCCCTTAGACTGTAAGAATATTGAGATGCAGTATCGTTTTATTGTCCTGTGACAGATTGTATTCTGCTTTTGTTCTTCACTGTGTGTATAATGTGTACTCATATCTGGGCAGCAACAAATACCTAACAAGCAATATGTATGTAAATTTACTTTTCTGCTTCAAAGACTTTCCACCGTGTACTTTATAGCAAACAAATCAGTACATTAACTTTGCGCATTTTAGTAAAATCTTTATAAGGACTGTTAAAAGTTATTCACTGCATCTTAAATATTTTTAAATGCATACTTCATTGTACTGTATTGTTTTGTTCATTAGTATGAATACATTTATTGCTATGACTGTATTACAAATCCTTTTTACATACTTGTCTACACTACACCAGTAAGCCTATTCTTATACCAGTTAATACACAGAGCAATGCACAAAGGTAAATACATTCCTCAAGGTGTTATGACACAGATTTATAAGCACATGCATTGATCCAGATACAGTTATGTTGAAGTGTTAACATCCTTCCTTTACCATTACAAATGCTGTAACACAACTATTACAAGAATGTATAACCAATACTTCTATGTAATTCACTAAAAAAAGGTATATTCATTAGCAATGTCAGAATTAACATCTAAAGTTAAAAAGTCTACACAAATGCATTCTAATACATAGATAGTTTTGCATTTGATTATATTTTAGAATCATGATATTTTAATGGTACACAATATCAAAGAAATACTTAAATTCACTCTTAATTTAGCCATCATTGTCTGACAACTGAGTGGTCAATTACCATTAATCAAGTTATTGTAAGTTATATATTTGTTAACAATATAGCAAAGGACAATTATTTTTTTTGTTTTATTTTGGAAATAGCCTTTGCCTTTTTAGGGACATTGGTTAAATTCTATAAGTACACTGGACCAAAAAATGTCACATATAGCAGGCACTACTTTCCAGTGTAACTATTTTAGAGTTTTAGTAATATTTTTTTGCACAAAAGCTTGCAATTAAAAAAAAAAAACATTTACAAAAATAAAATATCCACTGATTTATGTCGGATTTCTCCATGAGCATGCTATAGTAGCATGGGTGAGAATACCTACCATGTAGTGGGGCCAAGATGACTAGAAGGATCCACAGCGGGATCCTATTGGAGGTCCCCATCTTCTAAGTAGCTGAGACAGCAGAGATGAGGGTTGGTATGGAACAAGGCTGGACAGTTCTGTGGTGATCTTTATATACACTTCTCAAAGCACCTTGGAACAATGCCAGGATTGCTCCACACAGGTAACCTGGGAGGAGTGGCTGGTCTCTCCTCTACTTGTAGGTTTAAGGGAGGATGCTGGAACAAGGTTTAGACTGTACACTCTGACTATACTTATGCATATATGCTTCTATTTCTCATTTAGCTGAGAATTTGCAATCTGTAGCAATCTGTTTTTAATATGCAAAAACCTAACTGGGTTAGATAAAATGTCCAGTATTTTAAAAGCATTACATTTAATTGAACACTGTCTTTTGCATGGTGGTTTAATACTTTTTTTTTGCGGCTTTTCAGTTTTATGTCTTTTTTAAAAAGGATAATTTTCCTGATGGTCTTTGATGTCTGTAATTTCTCAGCTTTATTTCCCAATATATGATATAATGAAATAAGTAATTTAAAACAGCAAGCATCAAGTATTGAATGTTGCTAGAACTGAAGAAGCTGCTTGGACAAACTGTGAAAGTTCTTCAATAGAATAGATTAACTTAAATATGACTAACTACTACAAAGTACATATGCAAAGAACATTTGTATACATGTTTTATTTTAATACCAAGCACAGCAGTGTGATTGTAAAAATGTAAACCAGTTGTATGATTGTTATTATTATTGCTATAATTATTATTAGTAGTAGTAATAATAGTAGTAGAAGTAGTGGTAGTATTAGCATATAGTTTCCTTAAAGTCATTTTGGCAAGGTGCATTTTAACAAATTCACCGACATTTTTTCCAGGTCAATGCAAGTTTTTGGTTATGGACAACATATCCAATACAGATGTACAGTATTTTCTTGTGTTTTAATAAATATGGCATGGACAGATATTTATCTGACATTGTGAGCCAAAAATGAGGCACATTTAAACGAATTACAATGTAATTATTGGTTACAGCTTTGCTTCCTTTTGTACATTCAGGATAGGACCATGATGCATGATGTGTTTGGCCTAGATTGTGACTGGATCAATGACTAGTTGCCATACAATATTCCCCATAGGTGGTGGTTCTAGCTGGGCACTTTTTGTGGTGTGTATTTGGACTCTGCTGCTTGCTGTCATAAGGATGTTGTTATGAGCGGCATATTTTTTTTCCTGTAACACCCACAGCCCCACAACACATAACTATGCCTATTTCTTACTTATTTACATGCAAAGGCATCCAGGTGTGTCAGATGCCTGGTTACCTTGTGTGCTCTTTGGTTCTATTCGCCAGCCCCTACTTCATTACAGGACAATGTAGTAATGTAGGGGCCAACAGAAAGAACCACAGTGGGCAGCAGGGGACCAGTCATCTGACACACCAGCAAGCTTAGCTCTTTAAGACAATGAACATCAGCAGCAGGTGGAGGGAAAGGTAAGTGTTATTTTCCTTTCTTTGCAAGGAACATCTTTTTCATTATATAGTCACAGATTCACTTTATAGATGTGCAGCAGGCCCAAATTCTAAAAGTAAAAACAAAAAAAACAAAAACAGTCTAATAGGTGGCTCTATAACACAAATGCAACAGTTTGTGCAGAAAAATTGTATTTACTGCGAAAATTATTATAACAGATATTGGCATCTTGTTATTTCCTGGTCACTGGCAGCATAAGCAGTTCACTGCCTTCCTAGATGCATTATGGGAAACTGTCATTAGGCTTCCTCCCATCAATATGTTCAAAATTCCTCCTTTTTTAACAGGAAATGGTCTTCCATAAATTCAGCAATTATTGGTTACCTCAGCTCCAATTTTTTGTGATGTTTGGACTAATGAAATAATTGTTTTTGGTTTCAGATAATCATTAAAGGAGAACTATGAGGTGAGTGCTTTTCACTCATCCTCATAGTTCTAGCTGACCTGTGACAATGAAACTGTAACAGGTCGGCTCAGTAGATCGGGAAGTGAGCGAACACATACCGGCGTTCGCTCACTTCTCGATCCTGTCACGGCAGACAGCCGTGACAGGGGAGGGACTGGATTCCCCCCTCCCCACTCCGATTCTCCAGCGCTGACTGGCGGAACAGACGGGGTGGGTACAGCTGGTTTCAACAACAACAAAAAAAACATACAGAAAGTGCAAGTATCTCCTAGTTTGAGTACCAAGGTGGGATTCAGTTATGAAAAAAGGTGATGTGAGGGCGAAAATACTTTAGAAGGCTTTACTGCTAACTAACACAGAGGTTTAGTTGCATAGATTTTGCAAATGCACGTGGAAGAGACACTGCCACGTCAAGGCACTACTGATAAGTAAAAACATCAAGAAGAGTGGAGATACGTCAAGCGCACTACCCAGGAATTATATTAAAGTGGATGGTGGAAAATGGGAGTATCAGTGGTAGGTGTGCAAGCTCCTGGAACAGGCAGATAAGTGTGGCCTCTAACTCAAAAGTATCTAAGTTCTGTCTTGTAAAGGTGATGTCTGGGCTTCTGATGTGTTGCTGTACCTTTAAGGAGTGCAGGGCTGTTTCCAACTAAGCCTGCTATCTGTTTGTGAATTGCTATATATGTCACATAGTTGGGAAACTCAGATAGTTTAGAGCAGCAATTCTCAACCTTTTTTTAGTCACACCACATTTTTGAAAGTATGCACATTTTTGATTACCCCAGTCTAAAATGTCATAAATTCTGATAGAGACCCCACACAAAAACACCCAAAAAAGTGTGTTTCTTCCTTCACATCAAAGTGCCCCCTTCAAATCAAGACCCCCTCCTTCACAGAGTTACTCTTTGCATTAGTAGCCCCTTTTCACATCAGAAGCCCAACTTTC